TCATGGTTAAAGTTCTAATTAGATCACTGTAGAAGCACTAAATTCTCATATGAATCGTTTGCGATTTTGTGATGTGGGTGTTCTTGACACTTATCATGCAGAGATGCTGTTTATTTAAAATAAGTAGGTACTTGCATTTAAAATGCAAGTACTGATTAAAAAATACTTATTTTTATCTTACATTTAACTACTTTTTTGAGTAAAGCATTTTAAAATAATTTTCCACACGTATTTTCTATTTATAAAATGCAAAATACATTTTAGCCGTTAAAAGTTTTACTAGTATCACCGATCAAACATTATATAAAATGATGAATGAAAGTTGCTCACATTACCTGTTGAAGCTTAAAAAGGGGACAATGAGACATTCCATGAATGTCTTCTAATTCTTTAACTGAAGAGAGCCAAAAACTTCTAAACTTCTTGGAATTGGATAATTTAAAATATTGGATCGATATTGTTTTCCGGATTCAGTGTCATGGAATTTTGATATCAGCACCTGCCAAATTACCACCTATCGTACCTTTAGCAAGGAACTACGAAATTCTATGAATTACGACAAAACAGCCCGCAAAACAATATCGAATTGATATACGCCATTTGTGCAAAACTGAAAACTACAAGATATTGTGTGTGGTGTGCTAATAAATGCCTATAATCAAAAATTCTTAGAAAATGATTCGAAAAACTTCACTTATTAGATGAATCCAAATCTAAAGAAACTATGGATTCCATTTCGAAACAAAATGGGGTTGTTAATATTTTGATATAAAATGATTGATGGTGATTTTACAACATTGATTCAGCTGTTTCTTGTTTTGTGTCTTCGACAAGGCGAGAGAAAAAACTGTTAGATGTTGGGGAAAACATCTCTGATGATGTTCATTTATCAGTATAATAAGAGTGCAATGTAAATGTATTATTTGATTTGCAACCAAATTGAACGGCACTCGATTGCGAGTTATAATAATTTTATGTAACGTTTCATATAGTAATTTTAAATTCATTGTCAGCATGACGAGCTTATTTATTCCTCGCAAACTAGCAAAACTCATTGCATTTCTGACACTGGAAAATTTTTGCGGCTTTACGAATGATTACTTATTCATAGCTGTCTCATAGTTTTATCTGTTTCTTTTTACTTTATAGTATTCTAACAATTAAAACAAACGGAATTATAACATTGACATTGATCATGGGATAACTACTGGTTTATAGTCAAACTAAAATATGATTATAAAGTTAAATAAGAAGGCCTAAGAAATAAAATTATTTAAAATGAATGACTTGTAAAATTGTTTAATCAATTGTAAAATTACACATTTCGTCGAATGAAAATGTATAGTGTAACCCGAGATAAAAATGTTCAGCCTCTCAGAGTCTCTCATCGAGTCTCTCTGGTGCCGCTAACAGAGACTGTCGAGAAACTGTCAAAAAAAACTGTTAAGCGTCTCTGAACGAGACACTCAAGTCGCTCATAGAGAGATACTCATTTCGTATCCAGTCTCTGAACGAGAGACTCGAATCTCTGAACGAGAGACTCGAGTCGCTCATAGAGAGATCCTCATTTCGTATCCAGTCTCTGAACGAGAGACTCGAATCTCTCAATAAGTGGTGTCTCGATAGACATGGTTAAAATTTTCTATGTTCAACATATTTCAGAGATTCCAGTCTTTCTACGAGAGACTCCAGCCTCTCAATTTTTCAGTTTTATTCATTCAATCTCTCTGTGAGAGACTCGAATCTCTGAATTAACAATTTTATCGTTTGAATTTCTCATTCAGAGACTGTGAGAGATCCATAAAAACACCTAGGCAATAACTGAGAGACTGTGTGAGACGCTCTCAGAGACGCTGAAAGACTGAGAGGCTGGCGAGAGACTGAAAATTTTTGTCTAGGTAACTTATTATATTTATATTCCATTTAATTTTTTAAATCCTAATTTTCATCCAAATTTCCCAATACATGTACCAAAGTTTCCTCTCCCAATCCACATACATACTATATTGATAAGATTTCATCCTCCTCTATCAAATACATGCAATCTTTACACTTATCTCCTATTCTGGACATAGCTATTACATCAATCATTTTTACTCCTTTCAAATACCCAGCAAAATTGGTCTCGGTCTTGCGAAAGTGCAAGACAAGATTATCTTTATACTTGCAATACCAAGGTCAAACGAACAAGACCAAGACTAAACCCAACACCAAGACCAAATAATCTAGACTTAACGAAAAATTATAGCTTCCGGTTGACAAATTCTTTTCTTGTGACAAAACATTTTTAGTATTTGAAATTTTCAGTTTTATTTACTAGACAGGTATACTAAATATATAAAAAAAAAAGAAACTTTACCACTGTTTGAAAAAAGGAACCTACAAGAATGTTCTCAGAGTAAGTGTTCTTTGTTCCTGACTAGATAACACATGGTTGAAATATAAAGTCAAACTATTTTTTTTTCCGATATTTTTTACTTCTTAAAAGGACCTTGTACCATTTGGTTCGCTAAACGATCAATTTATGCGTTGGGGGAAGGGTCAATTTATGCATTGGAGGAAGGGAAAGTTCTTAAGTTTTCAAAACTCTCACAATTATCGACACTATTTTCTATAAAAGTAATGACAAGCTCGCATGTATGATAGAAAATTTCAGCATTTCAGAAAATTATTGTATCGGTAGAAAGAAAAATTTGTGCTTAGAAGTATTAGATTAAATGAGCAACACCAAGACTTAACACGCAAGACGAAGACCAAGTTCAAGACTTCTTCTCGAAATTTCCTTTCTTAGATCTCTTACTTTTAGACTTTCCAACTTTTTCTCATACTTACCCTAGATAAAAATGTTGAGTCTCTCAGAGTCTCTGAAAGCGAGACTCGAGTCTCCGTCTCTCATCGAGCCTCTCTGGTGTCGCTGAGAGAGACTGTCGAGAGACTGTCAAAATAACTGTTTAGCGTCTCTGAACGAGAAACATATTTTAGAGATCCCAGTCTTTCTACGAGACTCGAGTCTCTCAATTTTTCAGTTTCATTCATTCAGTCTCTCTGTGAGATACTCTAATCTCTGAATTAACAATTTTATCGTTCGAGTGTCTCATGCAGAGACTGTGAGAGATCCATAAAAACAACTAGGCAATAACTGAGAGACTGTGAAAGACTGTGAGAAACGCTCTCAGAGACGCTGAAAGACTCTGAGACTGAAAATTTTTGTCTAGGTAACTCCTCTTGTTTTAGCTTCCTTAATCAACTCCCCATACTTTTCGTTTCCAAAAACATAATCTGGTGTACATCTAACTAATTTAAATACCTATATAATTTTTGTGTATATTTTCAAATTTATTTTTTTCCTTCTACCACCTAATTTGATAATTCTACCTCGTTCACCACAACATTTTTCAAAACCTCATTAATAAATAAGCGATTAGACATAAATTAATCACCTTTCTAAAAAGATTCTAACTTAACTCATGTAAAACAAGCAAGGTTATCCATCAGACTTCTAATGTCGTTATTACTACGGATTTTTTTTATGGTATTTCTCGTTATGGACCTGGAGGACAGATGCATATGTACAGTATATACATAGATAAATTCCTGTATTACTGAAATTAGTCTATTATTTCCGAGAGATTTTCCACAGCTCTGTGTTAATCACACAAAAAATACTCATAGAGAAAAAAACAACAAGTAAAAAGGAAATAATAAAAAGATTAACGGAAATTCCTATGGATTACTTTCACGTGTATTTTTTATGGAAAAAAAAGTTGATGCACGTGTACATTCATCAATAAAGGCCTGGCATGATGAGATGTTTATTTAGCAATTAGTGTATCTATTGTAATATTAAAACTCAATTACTATAAAACAGTACGATGTTTCTTATTCTAACAATTAAAACAAACGGAATTATAACATTGACATTGATCATGGGATAACTACTGGTTTATAGTCAAACTAAAATATGATTATAAAGTTAAATAAGAAGGCCTAAGAAATAAAATTATTTAAAATGAATGACTTGTAAAATTGTTTAATCAATTGTAAAATTACACATTTCGTCGAATGAAAATGTATAGTGTAACCCGAGATAAAAATGTTCAGCCTCTCAGAGTCTCTCATCGAGTCTCTCTGGTGCCGCTAACAGAGACTGTCGAGAAACTGTCAAAAAAAACTGTTAAGCGTCTCTGAACGAGACACTCAAGTCGCTCATAGAGAGATACTCATTTCGTATCCAGTCTCTGAACGAGAGACTCGAATCTCTCAATAAGTGGTGTCTCGATAGACATGGTTAAAATTTTCTATGTTCAACATATTTCAGAGATTCCAGTCTTTCTACGAGAGACTCGAATCTCTCAATTTTTCAGTTTTATTCATTCAGTCTCTCTGTCAGAGACTCGAATCTCTGAATTAACAATTTTATCGTTCNACAAGAAAAATGTTTAAAAACCAGATACAATCGATAAATCTCCTTATAAAGAATTTATAAATATGTAGTAATTGTCAATATTAATTTATTGCTTAATGAATTAGACGTTAAGGCAGTCCGGTCAAGTTGTGAATAGCAAAATCAGCAACAAAATAATGAATACTGTTTTTGGGTAGTATATCAATTGTTTCTCATTAACTTCTCGTATTTTCCGAATGAAAGCGTTTAAATAATATTTAACACAAAATTACCTATCAATTTTTCAGTCGGTCTCAGCTTCATTAAAAACCCAATTTAGGAGACACAAACACGCACACAAATATTGTCCCATTATCCAAATCCGTCACTTATATTTTCCCACAAAGTGGGTCTTTTCTAACGACCATCGAAGTGGCAAGGTACCAATTAAACGTTCTGTATTTTTCATTAGATTCTTCAATAATTTATTCGAAAAAATTTCGCTGAATCAGCATAACCGATTCTCCCACACAAACATACAAACACGAACTTGTCCTTCCATCATCTGCCGATCGCTGATACGCGACAATATAATTTCACGATAAAATTGAAAGCGCGTTCAGTTACACGTAAGTATCGGCGACAGGCGGTCGGTACTACTACTGTTCGTGGCTCGCTGGTGTAATACAAAAATAAAGACATCGTAATAACAAAACAATCCGTTGTACACATACACTTTTGTAGTTTGAATGTTTGTCGGCTTTGCTTTCGTGAAATCGTAACCGTGAAGGTGCAACAGCAAGAACGAAATACTTTTCCGACTCGATCGTTTGTTTTCCGCAGCTAATGAAAGTGGTCGCATAAAAGGAATCGCCGGACACTTTGGGAATTTTAATTTATGAAGGTAATTTATGAAAACAATATCATTGTTTTACATGATTTTTTAAAATATAAAATAGAAAAATTTTTCATTTAAAAAAAGTGATACAAAAACTTGATCTTTTTAGGTTAAAAAATTAGAAATATTTTATGATGGTATTAGAGCGCTTAGTAAATATTATTTTTTTACAGAAAAAATTAATAAGTAAATAAGCGAGAATAAAAAAGTAAATTCAAAAAGAACGATGTGTACGTTCCGGGAGTTTATCCTAAGTGAAATAAAGTAATAAAAAGTAAAAATTTATTCAAAATCAT